GGCTGGCTGGCATGTGGTGCTGGGGGATTGAACCGTGGTCCCTGTGCTTTGTTCTCAGTAGGTGCTTTAGACCACTGAGCCATCTCACCAGCCCCAAGAGATCTAGTGTTTCATGCCTCAAATTCTCATACAATTTTAGCTTTGTCTTCCCTACTGTTGTTGTGTCTCCTGAGGGAAGTAGTGACTGTGTTACTGAGCACACTGAGAAAACAAAAAGTCTTACTGAACACTATGTAGGTTAGGTTGCTTGTTTGTCTTTTTGAGACAGGGTCTCGCTATTCAGCTCAGACTGGCCTTGAGCTCACTTTATAGCCCAGGCTGGTCTTGAACTCTCAACAATCCTGCTGCCTCAGCCTCCCAAGTGCTGGGATTACAGGCGTGTGCCACAATGCCCCATTTTTGAAGACTATGTTTTGCAAGATTAAAGTTCTTTGTTCCCACTGAGATATACTTAATGACATGCAGCTGTAGCAAGTATCCTTTGGGCAGATTTTATTTGAATTCTAACCAAACAATTTACCTTTCTCCTTGATTGTAAAAATCACAAGACCATCGTACACAGGATAGATATCACATTGCTGAAACTGTGCATTTCCCTTAGTGTGGAAATTACTTATTGTTTGTAGATAATGATTGAGGCTGGATAAATTCTGAGAAGGGATGGGCATGGTTTGTGACATTTTCCCTAGGTCTACAGGCTATGTTTTATTTTTATTTTTTTGGTGGCACCAGGGATTAAACTCAGGACCTTGTGCTTGCTAGGCAAGCACTTATTCCACTGAGCTATCTCCCCAGCCTGCCAGGCTATGTTTTATAAAGCTAAAGCAGGGTTATTTCCTTCTCTCCTTGGAAACTTGCATTCAGGTCAGTGTGTCTTGATTAAAATGTCATGGGCAGCTGAGCAGTTGGGCTTTTAAAGTTGAGAGTCACATCAAAGAAGGTTATTTCCTAATAATACAAATAATTATCTCCACAAAACCATAAGCATTCAAGACCTCACATTTTTTTAAAGACAGTACATAGAGTCAAAAAAAAAAAACCCATATGGGTATAGTTACATTCTCTTAATGAATAGAATGATTTGTTCTAATGGTGTTTGTAAATAGGATCTCAAGTCTGCATCTTGTACAGCAATTAACTACTAAGAAGAATGTATGCAGTGTGTTAATTATTGAAATTGTCCTAGCAATTTGATTTGAAAAA